ATACGGAGGGACAATTGTACTTTGTGCCGAGGACATAATGGTGAAAACAAATAAGCGGTCTGCTTTCACTGAGCTTCCCGACATGGATGGCTTAGAGAGATTTTTTTAAAAAACAGAGATCACAACGTGTACTACTTTCATTTATTTACCTATTCCAATTTTACAATTAGAATACTTTAATATACTTCAGATACCAAAGATTCATTATAAAAATAAAGTAAGGATAAAATGCTCAAGAAATACACATTGTAATTATTTAGCCTTTCAGGGTGATTTTTTCACCTAAATTCTAATACATTTAAAAATAACAGAGGATAAAAATATAACCAAACTTTTAACTCTTATTGTTCTTGGCTATTGTTCTTGGCTATTGATCTGTTAAATACAAATGAGCTCCAATGACCACTTTCTTTTAAATTATGACTTTAACATAAAAAACAAATATTCATTTTATGGCCTTTCTTGTTCTAGAGAAGTCATTGTTAAAGGGGAACCTTGCATTTCATAAATACAAATTGGCTTAATATTGATCTGAGGTCAAAGTGACATTTGACAAAGGGTATCTATCAGCTTCAAAAGAAGAAAAGCTGGTCCTATTGGTCAATAACAATTGCTGAGGAGAAATCAATCTACTAGCTACTACCTAGTCCCTAGTTTTGGTATCACCAGAAAATCTGGAAACTCCCTGCATGGAATGAGAAGCCTTGACTACAGTAAATCAAAGAGGCATTACTCCTTGTGTTATCAAAATAAACATGCTAAGATGAAAAAACTGATAGGGAGCTATGAATTAATATAATGACAAGTAGACTTTATGTGGCAATTTCAAGGACAGCTGCTGTCACATTCATATGTCACTACCAAAAGGTTCTATGTTTTTCTATGGAAAAATTATCTTCCTCCTCTTATAATAGGGTTGGAGGGAGATAATGAGAAGAGGGAGGGGGAAAGACATCCAAAGAATTGAAGATGAGGATAGTGTCAATGTTGAAATAATATATCATAACACTTCTGAATATCTAAGCCGGAAGGAAATGAGGAATGGAGAGGGATTGAATTAATAGCCCACAGGGGATATTATAATCTACTTAGTTTAATTAACTTCAACTTTAATGAGATTTTTTTTTCAAAATAATATGAACAGTGCACCAAGCTTGGACTATTGCCAAACACAATCTCCCTCTTCTTTGAACTAATTAAATGAGAAAGGATATAGGAAAGTCACAGAAACAAAAGTATATAATTGCCAAATTGTGCTAGCATTATAAAGTACAGTGCCTGCACTCTTAGGTTTTATAGATTTAAAGGTTATGGCAACATTTGCACTCTCTTTACAGCAGCCTCTAGTCCTCTCCTATGAGAGTTCAGCTCAAGGCCTGGGGCTTGATTTTAGGTACCTGATCTCTAGGTTCTGTTTCAAAGTAGTTGACTGGGTTTAAAGCAACAGATTATTTTTCTAGTAATTATTCTTAGCTCCCTGATTATTTTATTTTATTTTAAAACATGTTTTTATTGATTTCAGAGAGAGGAAGGAAAAGGAAGAGATAGAAACATCAGTGATGAGAGAGTCATTGATCAGCTGCCTCCTGCACGCCCCCTACTGGGGATAGAGCCCACAACCCGGGCATGTGCCTGACTGGGAATCGAACTGAGATCTCCTGGATCATAGGTTGATGCTCAACTGCTGAGCCACGCTGGCCGGGTGTCCCTGATCATTTTAAAGTTAGAAATGTATAAGACCTCAAAAGGGCTTTAAAAACAACCCCAAATTACCTGGTTGAAAAGACTGTTCAAAAAATAAACTTTCGCTTAATGGTTCCTTTATTCTTTTTTCCTCTTCTTCCTTTTGTTGCTCTTTTGCAGAAGGGAGAAGAGTAGCCACAACCTCTTTCCTTCCTAAAGCCTTCCTCTGGCTCTGTTCAGAAACTTGGAGACGGAATTTGTCTATTACACCATAGTGACAAGATCGAACATCTCTATGACGAATCACACTGAAAACATCCAAACATAACAAATGCTGTTTAGGTTTCGGAGGCCTGTCAAACAGAATTCAGCAAGAGATTTCATACAGTAAAACAATACTAACTGACTATAACCAAATACTCAAATAAAGAAATTTGCTAATGATGCTTTAAAAAAAAATCACGGTATAACCCAAAAGGAAATTGGTAGTGCTGAAATACTGGATGAGAGCACATACTCTAAAACATAGAATAAAAGTCTTAAGTGAAAAATGATGAGTAAAGAAAATTTCTCTTGGCAATGACTTTTTTTTTCTGGATATCTGTGTACAGTAATATTTATTAAATAAGATATATTAAATTGTCTCTTTCTCCACAAAAGTCTCATAAATTTCTATTGCCACTTATTGTTCAAGTAATAAACCTCACCCTAGACTTAAAATTGAAATCCATGAATGCAGGTAAAAATAAGCATTTGTATAAGTAATCCAGTCTGACCAATCCAACAGAAGGCTAACAATACACTTCTGTATCTCTCTGAAGAGAAAAGCATATAAAAGCACTTCAATATTTATGAGTTATCTGCAATTCCACATATTTTACTTTGTTCTTAATAGAGAACACAGAACAATTAGAACAAAAGTAACACATTCATTTGTCTAGAGACTACATTTCTTTGGAATAGTCCTTGTTTATTTTGTATTGAATGAAAATCAAAAGAAATGTGCAAAAACATATCCTTAAAGATATATTATTTTAAGGCTTTAAGTCTTTTCAAAAGAAGGCTTCTGCTTCTCATTCTCCCAGAAAATTTAAACAAATTCAGTTTACTTGGTGGCTTAAATTAAGGGCTGGTCAATGGATCCATCTGGTTATCACCAGTTCTAAAGTGAAAATTAAATATGAACAGCTTGAACAAACAGTCATTTATCTGACACTCTAAGAAGAAATTATCTGGAAGAGCTCAGATAGCCTTTTACAGATGAGTAGTTATGCACTAGCTTCCTGTTTGTATAGATTAACTTCCAAGCTTAGTAGCTGAATCATTTCGAATGAACTTATATTATCATTGTTCTGAAAGTGTAGTATTATTACATTTCTCAAATGTCACTATAACAGCAAGATGTTCCAAAGAAAATTAAATTTCTTATTATAGCTAGAGAAAATGAAAGGAACAAGTTCGAACTTTACCTTTATAAATGTCCATTACGACTAAAAGCACAACAATGAGGAAATGTTCACGGAAATATTAACACACATCAGTTCCAACATAATGAAATATTATTAAGTATTTGGTTGATCTGTTTAGAATATATTAGAAACTTAACAATAATTTTTCTTTTTAATTAAATTTATTGGTGTGCCATTCGTTAATAAAATTACATAGGTTTCAAGTGTATAATTCTATAATACCTCATCTGTATATTTCATTGTATGCCCACCACTCAAAGTCAAATCTTCCATCACCATATATTTGACCCTTTACCCTTTACTATCCCCCGGAGAATTGTGATAGACTAAAACTTTAAGCAAAAATTCAAAGTATAATAAATGCCTATGTGGGAACAGCTTCAAGAAAAATCCTTTTTCAAGTTAAAGACATAAATATTAACACACTTAAAACATGTTACCAGGAAGTGATTAGGACTTACATATCCACACAACACTGAGGCTTTACCGCACCTGCAGCATCAACGACAACATACTTATTTGGAGTAGTACACAAAACTGAAAGAAAAAGTCACAACGACCATTAGTGTTTTAAAAAAAATTAGTTTCTACATGTAAAAAATTAGTAAGGACTAATTAAAATTCATCAAATAGGCCTAGGAGACTCACCTTTGAACTTTAAGGCAAACTCATAGGGATTATATAAAGTCAACACTTGCTTATGTGTTGACTGGTCATCTGCATAAAATATTAGTTCTGTGGGAAACACAAAAACAGGAAGATTTCCTTCCACTAAATCTAGCTGTCTTTTTTGTTGATGCATTGGCACTGAATCCCCCTTGCTGCAGCTTCTGTTTTTACAGTCTCAAATCTATTTTGGACTTTCCTTAAGTCAGTTAAAAACTCCAAAGCATTTTGGCAATCTAGAAAGAGAAGAGAGAAAGAAAATTGAATGATACCCGTTTTCATTTGTTGTCCCACCACGAAAAAGCATGTTCAGCATGCATTAAAATAGACCCCCAAGTCATTTAAACATGCCTTTCGACTTTTCCTGTAAGGTTACTTAGATAGCTTTTACCAAACTATGAAAAGAAATTTATACGTGTTCCTTTCACATTCAGTATTACAACCTACAATAAATAACATTAATACTTGAATGAAGGAATAAAGGCTTTGTACCTCAAATTAATCACCCCCTTTCAAAGAGATGAGATTAAACAGATATCACTCTTTTTAAACCTCAGATTTTTTAAAAAGTAGTATTCTCACCACCAATTTTATATAAGCCAATCAGAATTCTTAAAGACTAAAAAATATAGAATAAGTTTCCATGGTTTACAGGAGAAAAACATGAGAAATCATTTTCACACTCATCTCAACAGTACTTTAGTTAGTGCCTTCGGGCAGCATGCATGGGAGAGTTCTTTTCATCTTTTTTCTACTGAAGCCCAAAATAAGCAAAAATGTTTCGAAGGGAAGCTGAATACCCACAATTGCTTAACAGTCCATGGAGTTTTTTTTATAAAAATTCAAAATCAGTAAGTAGGCCTTGGCATGCGAGTGGCACTATACTTCCCCTCCTACTTCAAGTGCACAGACTTCATGAGAGCTATTTTCTTCCAACTTCAAAGATCTTTCTGGATTCCTTCTGGGGTTCTTGAATATGTTCCAGATAGTTGTAACTGGCAGAAGTCTGACTGTCTGATAAGTGCTATGTTTTTGTTTCCTTATCTGATTTTAAGCAACAATATTATTTAGCTAGTACCCTAAGTGTGACTTTCTCAAATAAATGCAAAAGCTAAAACATGCAATCACAGAAAATGCCTGATTTTCAACCTGTAGATCACGCCTTTAAAATAAGCGATAAAGCTTTTAATAGTTTGCATTCAAGTTCTCATATATTCAAAGATACATATAACAAATTATCATTATTATTATTATTATTATTATTATTGGTTTTTCCAGCTATTGGAGTGCACGTGCTCTGATTCTGATTAAAGCCTTACCAATTTTTATCAACTAGGATACTGTATAGTCATGTATGCAAATTTTATCCTTTTCTTTCAACTGAATGCCTGTTATAAGCCTGGCATTAAGTCAGGAGCTGCACAAAGATACAAAGATAAATAATGCACAGGCCCAGTCCTCAAAAAACTCAAGTCTCATTGATAAAATAAATATTTAAGCTACCTCTATTATAATGCATACTCTTGTATATGAAGTACTAGGGGATTAGAAGACAACATGAATGATTCTACCTAGAAGAGAGGCCAGGAGATGGCATTTGAGGTAGTCTGTAAAGAAAAGAAGAATACATATTTCTGTGCTGGGGGTGAGGGGTGGGGATAGGTAGGGAGGGCATTTAGGTGTAGGGAACAACAGCATAAGCAAAGGTGCAGAAATGTGAAGGTAAGAAAGGATATTGAAAAGGTCATCCAGGCCTTAACTCAGCCGGCTGAAACATCATTCAGATACATCAAGGTTGTGGTTTGATCCCTGGTCATGGCACATGCAAGAGTCAACCAATGAATGCATAAATAAGTGGAACAACAAATCAATGTTTCTCTCTCTCTCTAAAAAAAAAATAAAAATCAATCAATAAAAAAATACTGTCAGTTTAAAAAAAGGTCATAATCCACATACTCTCCCAGATCGTCATGCTCTTTATGTCCATATATTTCATAGCATGCATGTAGCTCATCAGTGTTGTTGTTTTTTACTGAGCTGAAAGGAATATAGTCATTTTTATTTGTAATAACATTTAACATTTGCATAATTCATAAGAAATTTCAAACTTTTTTCATTAATCACATATGCTGAATGAATAATTAATATATGTAAAACTTTTAGCACTTACTCTAGGCCAGGCAATGTTTCAAGTGTTTGCTATTATTATTAAATTAGGAAGAGACCAGGCTCAGACAAAAAATGTCAGCAGGGTTCCGGCCTCTTAGTTCAGTATTTTTCCTGATATACCAAAGTAACTGTCCATTTCAATAAAATAAAACTAAGATTATTCTGAAAAGCATCTGATTAAATAATTCTAATTTTGAGTTTTTATTTGCCATGAATTTCTTTCTTTTCCTAAATGCTATACGCATTTGTATTTGGGTAATGTATGCTCAGAAGTTTGTTATCTTATTTTTTCCAATAGAAAATAAGCTCTATACTTATTTTCTTAGTAAGCTTGGCTATTAGGAATAGAACATCCAAATTTGGCATCACTAAATAAAATTGGACATCTCATTCTAAAACTGTTAGGATGAGAATGTAGCTTATGATAAAAGGTAGAATCTCTGATTTGTAGAAGATAGTTGAATCTGTCCCTCACTCCTTATAAAATTCTAAAATTTTATTAGGGCAATTCCCAAATGGATTTAAAGAAATAAAATCATAAAACACTAGAGACCTGGGGAATCTTTTCTTTTTTATAATTTAGACTTTCTAACAACCAGAAACCAAGAAATATTAGTAAATTCAACTATATAAAAACTTTTAAAATTCTGCATGGCAAAATACTTTTTAAGCAAAGCCAAAAGAACATTTTCAACTCATATCATAGTCAATGTCTAATTTTCCTATTATATATAAAGGACCTACACATTATTATGAAAAAGACAACTCAATATAAAAATGATCAAAAACTACAATATTTTATAGTAAAGGACATACAGATTGTTCTTAAACTTACAAAAGGTTGTGTAACCTCACCCACAAGAGAAATATAAACTAAAGCTATACTGATATGTTTTTACCTGTCAGATTGGCAAAACCCACCAAGTTTGATAGCACGTGGTGGGAGCAATCAGGCATGTTTTTAACATTGCTGGCATGGATATAAATTGGTACATTCACTGTACCTGCCAAAATTAAATGCACATACCCTCGAATCTAGGATTCTAGTACTAGGAATTTATCCAGTATAAATATTCCTCCTGTGTGAAATAGTGTACGTGAAAGGTTTTTTTAATTTTGATTTTTCTTCAGCACTAAGGATTAAATAAAGTTTATGTGAAGCACTCAATAAGAGCTAGTTGTTGTGTCAACAGCAAAAGACTGGAAACAGCCCAACTGTCCACTAATAGTGGATTCATTAAATACCATATGATATAGCCATTTGTTGTGATACCAGATATCTGTCAAGAAAGAGGAAGCTCTTAGTGTAGTGTGCATTTGGACTGATCTTCAAGTGTAGCATTAAGTGAGAAAAGCAAGGTGCAATGCAGAGTGTAGAGTATGTTGCCATTTGTGTGGAAAAGGGAGATAAAATAATATGTAAACCTATTTTCTTGGATATGGGTAAAATATCTCTGGAAGGATAGTCAGAGTCGCCCCTAAAGAGACAAACTGAGTGGCCAAGGACAAAGATGGGAGTTTTCTCCAGATACCCTTTTGTATCTTTTGAATTATGAACACTGAATACCTGTTCAAAAAAAATTTTTTAAGTTCCAATTACACAACAACTCCCCTAGGGCCTAATTTGAAAAGGGTGCCAATTTTGAAACACAAGAAGGAATTTAGAAACAATGTGTGAAAAATTCCTTTTAATTATATTTCCAATTTATGATCCTTTAATAACATTGAAAACCTTAAAACTGTGTTTAAAATAGAATATCAATTATTTAAAATAATTTTGTTTGCAATAAACCCATTGCAATGAGAAATACAAAGGTTTATTTAAGATGACTTGCAAACTTAGAAAAATGTAAAACTTTTTGTTATAAAGGATGTAAGATGGTTTATAAAGCTAACCAGGAAGTTAAAATTAACCACATAGTACAAGTGCTAAACTCTTGGTTTTTACCTTAAGAAGTTAGTAGTCACAAGTCCGAGAAGAAATTTTACTAGCTTTATATATTGGCTTAGTAGAAATTCTTATTGTTTTAATTTGGAAGTTTTCTCTTTACCAGTTGAGTATGTATACATTTTCCCACAAATCATAAATAGGCTGTCTATCCCCTGGTCACAATAAGTGTTTAACCACTTTTGAGCAGTTTATTATTTCTTTTCATATCCCTGTTTCCATTTCTTGCTTATCTTGGCTAAGATATAAGTTTCCTCTGAAATTCCAACTAGTGGAAATTAGGGAGGAATTAGCACCAGGTCACCAGGGCAATAATAGAGACTCTGCCAGCAAACCTAATAGAAGCTAACACCTGCCTTTAACCAATGGTTTTCGGGAGACTTAACACTTCCGCTTCACTCCAGTCCATGTTGCAAAATGATAAGGTAAAAAACTTCTGGGGAGAGATAATATACTAAGCCAATAAAACCTTACTGCAAATGTGTTTATAAGGCTGTTTTCATAAAGGCATGCACAAAGTCAAAGAATGTTAGCTCCTGACCCTTCTCATTTTACAGCTGAGGATAGCAGGCCCAGGGTGAGTAAGGGACTTAACCAGGGTATTGGTGGCAGGAGTCTGGTCTCCAGACTCACACTTCCCTACACAGTCATTATCTCCTTTGTGTCTCAATTCAAAAGTCTTGCCTCGCTTTTGCTAACATCCATGCATGCACTCATCTCTAGAAAATGTCCCTGCTTTTCCAGAGAGTTCTCAAAGGATGATCCAAAATTCAACTCCTGATATATATGTTTCCTTTTCAGTTTTATAAAGAAAATATCAAGAGACAATTCCACTTACTAAGTTGTGCACACTTTCTTTTCCTGATTACGAAAGAATAGCTATGGCTATCAGTAAATGTCCATTAGGGCATTAATAATCAAGGTTTAACTTATTTGTTCTGTCTGGATACCAACATTTTCTTCATTTTTCAAAGCCTAGTTCAAATTCCCTCTCCTTGCAGCCTTCTTCTACTACCCTGATCTACATGGATCTCATTAATTTCATTATGTTATTTTTAATATACTTACTGTATAGATTGGTTATTTTGACATTTGCTTTGTGTGGATTAATTTCGACTC